ATTTTACTCACTTTCATTTCTAATAATCGTGGAATATTAGTCATAATTATTGAAACACATGTAATTAATTACATTACATGTGTGATAGCTTATTAAATTACTAATGGATAAAACATTTACTTGGCTATTTATGTGATGTACTGGGATATAAACTAGCGTAGCATTGTTTACGTAGTAATTTATTTAAATAATATGGTTTTATAAATTACTCGTGATGTATTAGATATGAATAAATTTTTTTTAGTACAACATATAAGGGTGGAAGATCGAACTCACAACTYTTTGGTTGAAGATATCTACCAATTATCGCTGAATTAGGCTCGCTTTGACAAATAATTCAAATTCTTTAATGTGACTTTGTGAGGTGATATGACCGTTTAACATCAGGGTAAAAGAATTAAAATATTATTTTGGTCCTTGTATTTTCAATTTTGGTTTGTTTTGGTCATTATACTTTTAAAATGTTTATTTTGATTTATGTCCTTTTAACCTCTGTCCATTTTAGTCTATATACTTTTAAAACGTTTGTTTTGATCCATGYATTTAAAAAGAAAACCATTTTGATCTCTATTTGAAAAATTTTGATACAAATTTTAGACATAGTGAAAATTTTGATATAAATTTATGACTACATTTCAAAAATTTAATGAGTTAAAATGTCATGTTAAAATTGTGTGGGAAAAAAATTAGATAAAAATGAAAATCAATCGAAAAGAATCCATCGCTCTAGTAAAATAGATGCTTCAAAAATACATATATTAAAATAAAACAAAAGTTCAAAATACAAAAATAAAAATCAACGTTTTAAAAATACAGAAATGGATAAAAGCTAATTTTGTGGTGGGTGGGCCAGATTTCGCTGCCACGTGGCTCAACACAGATTTCATATTGCCGTGCGATGTGATTAAGTAATTTTATCGTGGTTTTCAAGGTATGAACTTCCTTCTTAGTACAAATAAATATTTGATAATTTATASGAGCMAAGTTTTTTCYTTTTCATAWCTCTTCCAATTTTGAGTTTGTCTTCTTGTATTGTATTTTTATTTTTTCGAGGCTTATCTTGAATTTTTCATAACACGATTCAATATGTTATTTAATAGTATGTAGTTATTATGGAAATGTTTTTTTTAGTACAATATGTTGGGGAGGAGATTCGAACTCACAGYCTCGTGGTTGAAGATATATGCCAATTATTATGGAAATGTTATTTAATAGTTGAATGAGATAATTTATTTAATATTATATTAAAATTTTATGCAATCAACATTTACATAATYATGACATTGTTTATATTTTGCTATTGTGGTCAAAATACAAATTTAATCCATGAATTTTGTATATGTYTATATTTTGCCACTAAAATTTTAAAAGTTTTAATTACATCTCCSAATTGTTTGTTTTAATTATAATGAAGGCTTGTTTGTCACTTAAATATTGATGTAGAATGTTCATTGAACTAAAAAGTGATAGATTGTTATGATTTGGTAGAAGAAAGTGGACAAGTCAAGAAAAACAGGAATGAGCAAACAAGAAAATTTGGTAGAATGAATATTTTTTTAGTGCGATAGAACAAACAATTAARATACATTCTAAATTTATATTTTTTAACATTTTACCCCTCTTTTATCTRGTTGCTCCATACTCTTATATCACGTCATGTCAAATCATCACTTGTTAATCGAATCAACGTGTCACATTAACATTTAAGTAATAGTGTGTTAACGACAAATATTTATTAAAATATAATTAAAAATTTTTAAAAATACCATTGAAAACTTTTAAATTCTAAAGGACTAAATATACACCGTTATCAAACTGCTAATACTATATTTGTAATTTAACCTTTACTATTAATTTCCAGTTATTGCGTTCGAAACTTTGAATGTGGGCTGTTGATCATTTAGGATT